TTTTTGTTTTTTCGAGACAGGGTTTCTCTGTGTAGCTTTGCACCTTTCCTGGAACTCACTTGGTAGCCCAGGCTGGCCTTGAACTCACAATGATCCACCCGAGTGCTGGGATTAAAGGCGTGTGCCACCACCGCCCGGCTTTTTTTTTTTTTTTTTTTTGATACAGGGTTTCTCTGTATAGCTTTGCGCCTTTCCTGGAACTTGCTTTGTAGACCAGTCTCACTTCAAAATCAGAGATCCACCTGCCTCTGCCTCCCGAGTGCTGGGATTAAAGGCGTGCGCCACCACCGCCTGGCTAAATATTTTAAGCAATTACTACTTGAAAAAATAGGATGAATTATAGAATTAGAAATAAAAATTAAAAGGCTACGTAAAAACGGGTAATTATCCAGCCATGTTTTAGTAAATCTGAATTTCAATATAAGTGACATCTTTAACTATGACTTATTCACAATTCAAAAATAAATGTTATTATTACTATAAGAAAACACATATAAATGTTTTGCTCATATATATTTTCATCATTTTTTAGCTGAAAAGTAACAGAAAATTACCTAAAATTCTTCATAGATTAATTTATTACCAAATCCTCATTATGCTCTATACTCTAGGGAAAAATACAGAATAAAACATGGTTCTATTCTTCACAAATTTACAATCTATTTGGGCTTCTATTTTTATGGTGTTGGTGGTCAAATTTCAAGCTTTACATGTGATAAGTTAGTGCTTTTCCATAAGCAACATCCTGCAGCCACATCTGCACCTTTTAAAACAGATGTTACATTAAAATGATCAAAAATTTGAATAGCTTCATTAAAAAAGAATTTCAGTTTAAGTCATATCCTGAATTTTCATACCATATACTCTACAAATTTTCTCTAAAAATTAAAAAAAGTCTTGGTTATAGCTAGATGTGGTGGCATTTCAACTGTAATCCCAGAATTTGAGAGGGTAAAATCATGAGTTCGAGACTGGGATAGGCTATATAGGAAGCGAATGCTATTCTGAGCTACATAGTGAAACCCTGGCTTGAAAAATCAAGAGCTAGATATGTAGCTCAGTGACAGGGCATTTGCTTAGCACACACTAGAGCCTGAGTTTGATTCTTTGGATTGAGAGAGGAAAACAGACTGTCTCAGCTCCTAAAATGCATTAGCTGTGTTAGCCAGATGGCTCAGTGAGAAAAGACACTTGCCACTGAGCCTGGTTACCTAAGTTCAATTCCTGGAGTCCCACATAATGGAAGGAGAAAACCAACTATACAAGCTGTCCTTTGACTTCCACATGCATACTCGAGCACACACACACACACACACACACACACACACACACACACACACACACACAGTATAAAAATAAGTAAATGCGCTGGGCGGTGGTGGCGCACGCCTTTAATCCCAGCACTCGGGAGGCAGAGCCAGGAGGATCTTTGTGAGTTCGAGGCCCCTGGGCTACAGAGTGAGATCCAGGAAAGGCGCAAAGCTACACAGAGAAACCCTGTCTCGAAAAACCAAAAAAAAAAAAAAAAAAAAAAATTAAATGCCTTTGTTTATATTTTCATTCCTTTCTCTCCTCTTCTTTCCCCCTCTCCTTCCCTTTTATACTGTCTCTCTTTATCCCTCTGAACAGGGTCTTGTTATGTAACCCTGGTTGGCTTGAACTTGTAATGTACACCAGGCCAGCCTTTAACTTGCAGTAATTTTCCTGCTTTTGCCTCCCAATGCCAGGATCACAGGTGTGCAACACCATGCCTGGATGTGTTTCATTTTTATAAGTACAAAAAAGAATACCATGTCTAATTTTTTAATCAAATAGCTGTTTCTGCAACTCTTTCACCTTTATGTAAATTATTTGTGAATTAACTTAAAAAATAAAAAAATTAAAGTGGCCCACTGGACCCAGATGGTACATAGTGATGACAATATTTCCCAATAAAAATAACGGAAATACCCTTTAATATAAAACTGATTTGTAGAGATTGAATTTTAAAAGTCTAGATGTACATTTTTATTCAAGTCACAGAGTAAATCAAGTCTTCCTAAACTGTTACTTATAACAATCTAACTAAAAACCAATTATTTTTCAAATTGTATGTGTGTGTGTGTTTGCATATGCCGTAGCACGTGTGCAAGTCAGAAAACAACCTGAAGAAGTTGGTTCTCTCCTTCTACCATGTGGGTCCCTGGGATTGAACTCATATTGTCAGGATTGGTGGTAGTTGGTAAACCATCTTGCTGGCTCCAGAAAAACAATTAATTTAAAGTCCTCTCTAAAGCATAAAGAAACAGGAAAGAATTAGTACATACAAATTGATCTCTAGTACTCCCCCCAAATTTTGTGTGGTCCTAAATGTTCTCCTAGAAAAATAAGCAGAAAAAAGGCAATGTAGTGGTAAAATGCTTGGCTGAAAAGGCCAGTCTACATTGAAAAATGTAACAACTGGGCTGGAGAGATGACTCAGAGGTTAAGAGCACTGGCTGTTCTTCCAAAGGTCCTGAGTTCAATTCCCAGCAACCACATGGTGGCTCACAACCATCTATAATGAGATCTGGTGTCCTCTTCTGGCCTGCAGGCAGAACACTATACATAATAAATAAATCTTAAAAAAGAAAAAGGAAAAAAAAAAGAAAAGTTTAATTAAAAAAAAGAAAGAAAAAAGAAAAATGTAACAACTGGAGGAAAGAAGTTGAACAGGAAAAGCTGAGGTTTGGAACTCTTCATCAACAGGACTTTTTCAATACTAGCCTTCAATTTTCAACATACTTAGATGCAGTTATTATTCAAATGCTAAAATGTACAAACATATAAAGTCTTCAAAATGTAGACAGGGGCCGGGCGGTGGTGCATGCTTTTAATCCCAGCACTCCCGGGAGGCAGAGCTGTCTCACCACCTCCTCCAAATGTAGACAGGGGCTGGGCGTGGTCGTTCATGCCTTTAATCCCAGGACATAGGAGGCAGAGGTAGGTGGATCTCTGTGAGTTCCAGGCCAGCCTGGTCTACAGAGTGAGTTCCAGGCCAGCCAGGGTTGTTACACAAAGAAACTGTCTTGAAACAACAAAACAAACAAACAAAAACCAAAAAAAAAAAAAAAAAAAAAGAAAAGAAAAGAAAAAAAATGTAGAGAGGGGAAATTGAATAATATTTCTTAAAACTTTTAGGTGACCGTCTTACCTATCTTTCTCTAGCACTTTGAGATGCCCATGAATAAAAAGTGAGGTATTATTTAATGAGTTGAACCTTAGGTGAAAGTCAGAAGGCACTGGTTCAAGAACTGGTTCTAAGGGGACAGGCCTGGTGGCTCTTTCTTGTAATCACTGTATTAGGGAGGCTGAGCCAACAGGATCAAGAGTTCTGGATAGCCTTAGTTACATATCAACTTCAGCCTCTGCTACACGGAACCCTATCAAATAACAAAAGCAAACAAATGAACAACAACAACAAAAAAAACCGCGAGGGAGGTCAAGGAGATGGGCTCTGCAGGTAAGGGGGCTTGCAGCCCCAAACTGATTATCAGCGATCCACCCTCGGGACCTACACAGTAGGAGAGAACTTAGCACTACCAAGTCGTCATCTGACCTCCAAACTGTGGTGTGCGCATACCTACACACCTACACACACGCACACCAAAAAAAAAAAAAAAAAAGAAAGAAAAAAAAAGAAAAAAGAAAGAAAGAAAGAATATAAACAAATGTAATTTAAAAGAAAAAACACCACAACTGGTTCTATTTACGGACCACATAACTGCTTGAGGCTATTTCTTCACCTTTAAAAACCGGTCTTTAATACTTCATAGCCCTGTAAAAAGAGCAACATCAACACGACATTCAAATGCTATGATAATCGCATTTGCACAAATATTAAAGCAAATCACACAGATCTAACTGAATTTTATTAGCAAACTAGCGCCTTCATAGATTCGGTATTTTTTTTCTTTTTTTTTTTTACATAAGATGGCTTGAATTTATACTGTAACTCTCAAAGCAAGACACCTCACAAATACCTAGATTTTTGTAGTTTAAAACTGTTTTTAGGTATCAAATACCGTTTTAGAGACACTAAAACTCATAACCCAACCCCCAAAACAAAACCAACAAATCCAAGCCCCCAAATCCTAAAATCCAACCAACAAAACCAACAATTCAAGCTCATAGATTTAAAAGAAAAATTAGCAAATCTTCCAAACAAAGAGAGATCTTTGGATAATCTCCCACATTTGGAAGAAACTGGTTCCATTGATACTGAGATGTCTTCCTGAAAAGAATTCAAACTTGAGGTGCATTGAGAGGGACTCCCATGTCTGAAGCAGGTTTTTCTCCTCCGACGAGATGCTTGCCCCATCGCTAATAAAGCCCTGCAGTGCTCACTGATGGAAAATCGTGTATCTAAGCCCACATCTGTCCCCTCAGGGCTTTTATCCTCTAGAGTCTAGACAATAACTAAATAGAGCAAGATTTCTGTGACAGAGGAGGGCAGCCCCTTTGGGAAAAATAAGGGTACCAGCACAGAAAAACTATCGAGGGTCCTGGGAAAGGGGTTGGGCAGAACCAAGGGCCTCAGGAGCCTGAGGCTGCAAAGTTCAGATTGGCCCACCAGCTTTTCCCAGGACTGCAGAGACCAGCGGATGGGAGGGTCTCGTCGCTATCCAATGTACAAAAAAGCAGACTGAGGGGGATCTCAAGAAAGCAAAGCCAGAAAGGTACGGAGGCCACCCAGCCTCCCGGGCCTTCGGTAGACCTCGGCCCATGTGGTCCGACCCGCAAGGGGCGCACGCACATTTCAGGCCTTGGAGGTGGCCACTGGCGGGCACCGCGACCAGCCCCAGCTCCGCGTTGCCCCGACGACCTTTCCCAAAACCCTCTCCTCCCCGGGGCCGAAACAAGATGGTAGGCCACGGGCCATCGCGCCGCCGGGTCCCCAATCTCCAGGGCCATGGAGACCCCAGCAGCGTGCCACGGCCGCTGCCCTGGCCTCAGAGGCGGGGAGGTGCGGAGAGGCTTACCCACAACGCTGCAGGACGTCCGGAGCTCAGAGAAGGAGGAGGAGCGGGAGCAGGCGGAGGAAGAGAAGGAGGAGGAGGAGCAGAAGGAGGAGGAAGAGGAGGGGAGGAGCAGGTGCGGGGGGAGAGGGGATAAGAGGAGGGGAGGAGGCCGAGGCGGAGGAAGAGCGGAAAGGGAGGAGCGCGCAAACACTGGGTGACCGCCGCTCAGATGGCGGCGGCCACAGCCACCCCGACTTCCAGCGCCAAAGGAGCTACCCTGAGTAAACCCAGACTATAACAATGCGCACTGCCTGATGGGTAGATCGCCACTCCTAACGTGTACATCCGGGCACCTTTTTGACAATGGTGGGTGCTAACATGTGCGTCGCCACAAGCAGCCTCGAAGGCTCTGGCGCTAGACAGGGGTACCCGCCTTGGGAAAACGGAAGGGAGCGGCGGGAACACTGACCCCCTTAATTTGGGCTGCATACTGTGTCTGAACACACGCAAATAGAAATTCTGAGATCTCCCGGTGAATAAACATTTTTAAAGATACTGGACTTGATACACTTTCCACGTTTTAACAGAAAAGAAACATCAAATCGACTTAAGTCATTGACTGATGGCATCTACCACGTTTGTATCTTTCAGGTTTTAACAGAAAACAGAAATTAAGTCGATTTATTTAAGTCATTGACTGATGGCACCCACCACATTTGTTTTAAACACAATTTTGTTTTCCTTTGTCCTCTTGTCGTATAGAGTCCTATAGTTATATAGTTCCTTTTAATTTTTGTTTTTGTTTCCTTCGGGGTTTCTTTGTGTAGCCATGCTGTTTGGCTGCCCTGGAACTCGCTTTGTAGACCAGGCTGGCCTCGAATTCAGAAATCCACCTGCCTCTGCCTCTGAGTGCTGAGATTAAAAAGCATGTACCATTACGCCGGGCTTTTTAAAAATATACAAGAAAAACACTTGCCAAAATACTGCTTAAGTGATCATTTTCTAAACCTTGTCTTTTAAATTTTAAACAGTATTTCCTATCATTCCTAGCTTCTGTTTTGATGTGGGCAGGAAAAAATTAAAAAAGGTAAAATCTGCAACCCAAGCGATTCTGCTCTTGGTACCTCCAGCAAGTAAAATAAGAATTTCGGTCCTGAGAGATGGCTCCGTAGGTAAGGGCCATCCCTGGGACCCATAGGGTAGAAGGAGAGAACAAAATCACTCAAGTTGTCCTCTGATCTCCACATGCAACCCGTAGCAGGAACACGAAGCACACACACGCATACGAATGTGCACTACATACTGAGTTCCCTCTGTAAAACATTTACTTTTTTTTTTAAAAAAAAAAACAAAGACTGCTGCTTGTCTCTAAAAACCTCAAAAAAAAAAAAAGGTCTCAAACATTCAGTTTAGGAAGAGGCAGTTTGTATGATACGTCAATCAGAAGCACAATGTCAAAAAAAAATTTTAAAGAAAAAAATTAGTGCTACAAAATACATACCCAACTCCATTTGTGTGTAGGTAGGATGGCTTAATTTATCCTTACATTTTAGCCAATAAACATTGCCAAGCAGCCAAATAGCAAATTCTATGTGGTCTGAAGAGAATGGCTTTCTATCTATAATTCTTAGTGGCAATAGCATAGTTTTTAGATTAAAAACTACTTATGTGGATGAGCATGCAGCAAGCTATTTCCAATGAAGCTTAGCAACATAATCTTTCAGTTGTCATTTTCGCCAAGGTTTGCCTCTTGACTAACAATGAAAGGTCCAGGAACCCTCAGAGGAATTACGTTACAAGACTATCTTGAGGGAGTAATGAGTACCAGGAGCTACTTGTAAATAATTTCCTACCCTCGGGCTTCATTCATATCTGCTGCCACTTTTAAGTCAGTATTTGCAAAGCCCCTAAAGACTTGGCTTGTAAAATAAACTAGGGTCCATCATTCAATTGCTGGAGTCATTCTACAGAGGAAACCCAGTATGTATTTCTGTATGCTAGTGGAACATACCTGAGTCTCAGTTTGATCAAACAAATCATAAGAAAAATATTTTCAGTACAGTTGGAAGAGTATCTGACTATTGGTTATTCATGCTACTATAATTGCAAAAATATTAGTATAATAGTGATATCATTCTGTTTAGAGATCTTTGAGAACCTTTCCTATCTGAACCAACATGATTTGTAAATATTTTCTTCTGTTCTGTAGTTTCTTAATTTATTTATTATGTATACAGTGTTCTGCCTGTATGTATCCCTGCAGGCCAGAAGAGGACATCAGATCTCATTATAGATGGTTGTGAGCCACCATGTGGTTGCTGGGAATTGAACTCAGGACCTCTGGAAGAGCAGCCAGTGCACTTAACCTCTGAGCCATCTCTCCAGCTCCAGTTCTGTAGTTTCTTTTATTGCTTCCTAGAAAGTACCTTTTGAAGTACCATCATCTTTAATTTTGATGAAACATAATTCACTGTTTTCATTGTTATGTTCATATCATAAATAAGAAACCACTGCCTAATCCAAACTCATGAAGATTAAAGCCTATGTTGCCTATTTAATATTTTATACCTTTAGAATGTGAGGAATTTCCCCCTTCAGTTTTTGTACAAGTTTATATTAAACATTGGGCATATTCCCTTGATACTCTCCTAAGCATCCGATTTTCACCTTTTCCCTCTTGTAAGTCCCTCTTGTCACCATTAACACTTTTACTTTTATATTCATGCCATATATACATCCATTGCTCTAACTAATTAACTAATTAATTTATCAGAGATGGAGTCTTATTGAAGTCAATCTGACCCTAAACTCACTATGTAACTGAGGCTGGCCTTGAATTTCTGTTCACTTTCAGGAATATGACCATTTAAAAATATTATTTATGCTGATTCATGAATATAGGCAGTCATTTATCAACTTTTAGGGTGTTCTTCAATTTTTTGTTTGTTTCTTTGAGATAGGGTCTCAGTACATAATTCCTGGATGGCCTGGAGTTTGCACTGTAGACCAGTCTGGTCTCAGATTCACAGAAAACCACCAGACAGTACTTGACTTCCGGTCTTGAGAGAGATGTGGGAACTTGGCCTGGAGAATTTTTTCTTTTTTTTTCTGTAAACTTTTCTTTCTTGCTTCAATGTGGGCTTGTTTCTCAAGTCTCAGTCTGACAAAGTGATCCACATAAGGCATCTTGAAGAACCATTTCCTGTTGTATCTTTTATTTAGGTACCACTACTTGAGTTTGTGCCTTTTCTAACCGCTCTGGACTTGGCATTGGCAATCTCTGTCATTTGGGCTCCTACTCTAAAGTAAGAAGCATGTTTCTTTACTTTACAGGGACATACCAAAGTTTATGTAGGTCTTCATTACTTTTGTTCCTTAGCTGCTGGCAGGTCCATGAAGCTCCAGATTTGACCTTTTCTTCCCCCCAGTTCTTTGGGTCATCAAAAAATTCTTCTAGTCCTTTCCTTGACAATGTGGTATGAGTAATTTACACTGGAGAAAAGATGTGACATGTGGTGTGTCCTTGTGCAACAAAATAAGAGAAAACCCGGAACTGGTGGGGGCCTTGGGATTTACTAGGGAACCCGCAGCCTTCAGGAATGCTGAGACTCTTCTACAAATAACCTTTTTTTGTTTGTTTTGTTTTGTTTTGTTTTTTGTTTTGTTTTGTTTTTGTTTTTCGAGACAGGATTTCTGTGTAGTTTTGGTGCCTGTCCTGGATCTTGCTCTGTATACCAGACTGGCCTTGAACTCACAGAGATCCACCTGCCTCCGCCCCCCAGTGCTGGGATTAAAGGCGTGTACCACCGCTGCCCGGTGTTCATTGAGTTTTTTATTGAGCTTTTCAATTCTGAGATTTTTGTTTGGATTTCATTTTTGAGAATCTCTTCTCTTTATTGAATTTCTCATCCAACTTGTCAAATTTCTTGTCCAGGTCTTGAGTTGAATTGTTTCCTGAATCTATCTGCTCACTTGTGTCTTCTTTGATACTATGATAGCTAATAACTTTTAATTCTAGGCTTTTGAACTTATTAGTTGGCATTTCAATTATTTTGATATATTTGAACTGAAATGTTGAAGCTTTGTAATATTATAATATTAACATTATCTTGGTTTTCATATTTTTTATATTTTTATGTTATGATTTTTCCATCCATTAGGCTGAGTTTTTCTCTGGTATTGTATGGAGATCCTCCAAGTGATCAGTGTTCTCTTCAGGCCTTAGTCACCACTATTTCTCAGAAGGATAAATGCACATTGTAACAACAATAACAGTATAAAAAAAGCACTACCATCCTTTATGTTGAGATTTGATTAGTTTATTCTAGGTTTTTGGATCATCGTTTTTCACTTGGATGTGTGATATTCTAGCAGACAGTACTTTGCAGGAGAAATTATGTGGGGGATGCCATCCTTCCAAATTAAAAAGTATGATAGTTGTAACAGTCTAAATATGTTGGAATTCACTTAAAAAATGAAAGCCTGAGCTAGGCAGTGGTGGTGCATACCTTTGATCTCAGCACTCAGAAGGCAGAGGCAGGCGGGTCTCTGTGAGTTTGAGGCCAGTCTTGTCTACAGAGCAAGTTCTAGGACAGTCAAAACGACACAAAGAAACTCTGGGAAAAAAAAAACAAAAACAACAACAACAAAAGGAAAGGTTGAATGCATTTGTTGAAAAATTTAGGGTAAGTCTCCATCAGGATGTATCCTATACCTAAGGAGGACTGAACCACACCTGAAAGTTCTACGGTATTCATTATATCCATAAGGTTTCTTCCTAATTTTTTTAAAGATCTAATTATTTTTATGTTCATGTGTGTTTTGTCTGAATGTATGTAAATGTACCACATTGTGCCTAATGCCCATGGAAGCCAGGAGAGGGCATCAGATCCCCTGGAACTGGAGGTACAGACATTTGTGAGCTGCCTGCCATGTGGGTGCTGGGAACTGAACTCAGGTTCGGGAAGAGCAGCCGTGCTCATAAATGCCGTGCCGTTTCTCCAGCCCATCCCCGCAGTACTGATCCTTTAGTGTTTAGTGTTGGGTGGGATGAACACTTCTATTGAAGGCTTTTCTGACAATTGATCATTTCTCTCCAGTATGGATCCTGTGATGTTGAATCTGGGATAAACTCTGGTTGAAGGAGTTTCTATCTAGTAGGTTTTTCTTATGTTTTAGGACAGTAGTTCAGACTTGAGGCTTTATCACATTTCTTTATATTTGCAGGAGTATTCTCCAGTATGAGTTCTGTGGTGTCAAAAATAAAGGA